AAATATTTAAGTACTGACTTACCATTTACAGAATTATTTGGTCATCTTTGTGTTGAGGTCTCCATCACCACCACAGCTAATTTTATTTAAATTTTACATTGGTTAAATTAATTTATTTTTTGCTATACGCTTTGAATCTCATTAAATTTAATTTTTTTACGACATTAAATTCACTTATTTTTAATTTCCGCATTTTTATTAAATTGCTTATTTTTTATGATATGGCAACACCGTTTTTTTTAATTTTTAAACCGAACATCAATTTATCAATACATCAACACTTTGGAAATTTTCTCTATTTAATTTTTTTAATTTTCCCATTATTCGCTCTTTATTTATAATTTCATTTTTTTTTAATTTATTTCAAATTATTGCAACTCCAAACACTATAATAATTATTTCCATTTCCGCATTTTTATTAAATTACACATTATTCCATTAATTTTTATGATATGGCAACTCTACAACTATTTTCTTTTTTATATCGAACTCCAATTTGCCAAAACCACAACACTTTGTAAATAATCGCTCTTTTTTCTATTTTTACCTTTTTATAGTTTCACGTTTTTTTATTTAACATTTTTCATATTTTATTTTTATCATTTCCACGATTTTTTAATTTATTTAAAATTTATGGCAACTCCGTACACTATCATATTTTGTATTTCCTTTTCCGTATTTACTTTCCCTTTTATTTGTTTTCTTTTCCGTATTTGCTTTTCCTTTCATTTGTTTTCTTTTATCCGATAAATTCCATTTGCCATTAACTTCACTTATTATTTCCATTCTGGCAACTCTATTGATATTTCCTTATTTAATTTCCTTTTTTTCTTTTCCCATTTTTGGAGCCATTCTCCATTTAATTTATTTTTTCTCTTCATTAAATTCCCCTGAATTTGCAAATTACACGAAGAACACATCAATCACATCTCGCTCACTCTCATGGCAGGCTCTCCAACAATGACGTCATACAACGACAACCGTTAATGGTGGTGGAGGTGGGGGAAGTATTTGCAACAGGTTCAGTTTTGTTCGCATTTTGCGATACTTCTTTACCATCATTCTTCTTCTTGTTTGTTCACGACACCAAATTATAATCATTTTTAAGACGTCACAATTTTGTTCTTGTTGTTGTTTTATAAGGCAAACTTCTCTGAATAAAAGGGGCAACAAGGCAAAAAAACACACACGCACGCATAATCAAACGAAACGCGAAAAAACACAACAAACACTTTTTCACGGCACTTTTCTTGTAATTTTCCAATAGATTTTCATTCAATGACATTTATTTAATGGTTTTCAATAGTTTTCTTTTTATTCTTATCCCTTTCTAAAACCATTCTTTTAATATGAAAGGCAAAAGAAACAAAACGACACACACACGCACACAAACTACCGGCAAATAACAAAAACGACGCGCACATTTCGCGGGATATTTCTGTTGGTTTTCTTTGCAATTTCCAATTAGATTTTCGTTGCAACGACTTTCTTTACACTTTTGAAAATTATTTTTTACACTTTTTATATGTTTTTCTTCAATAATATCAATAGATTAAAAGCACACACTTGTTTGCATAAGAAAACCAAACGGACGGCACACGACACAACTTAACTCGCGAAAATGACACTGAAGACTAATCAATGAGAGATTAATTACATCTCAATTGACCCCAAACTCCCAACTCCAACTCTCTGCAGTGGTGACATTTGGGGGGAGTGAGAAAAAAGAGTGTTAGATAATGACAGAGTTAATGAGAGTTAAGTGGGCAATTTGGGAGATGGGTAAATAAAACAGGTGTGTTGTTGTTGTTACTGGTTAGTTGGTTGTTGTTTGTGTGTGAGTGTTTATGGTAACAGGTAGAGTCAGCCATTTGTGTTTGCGTTTGTCATGACTTGTTGAATAAATGGAGAAAACAACAATAACAACAAAAATTGTCATGGAAACAGGTATTTGTGGTTGTGTTTGAAATTTGAAACATTGCATTTTTCTGTAGCCAATGAATGGAAAGAAGATAAATAAATAGAAGGGGAACAAATATGGCGTTTGTGTGTTGTAGCCAATATGTCTAAGTAACAATGTTTACATATTGCTTTTGTAGACAAAATAAAAGCTTTCTTTTTTTTTAGCAAGATGTGGCAAACAGGAAATGGATATTTTTTTGTTTTTGTTAAAAAAAAATATGCCTAAATGGTTTTTTGAAAACAGTGTTTAATGACTTCTTTTTGGACTTTTTTGGTAAAAAAATTTTATATTAAATTTCCGGTAACGTGTTAGAAATTGTTTCTTCAAAATATTTTGACAATTGAATTGAACGGCCTGACGGCTTTGACGTTTGTCTTTGTTTTTATAACAATAAATGGTTTCTGCTGTTGTATTTGGTTTTTTTACTTGTGGCCATAAACATGTGCGGCTATTTTGGGTAGGAAAAAAGAAAATAAATAAAAAGCCCCAAACAAAAAATAAAACTTCCCAATGAATTGTGTATTTTTTCCGTACAAAATAATATGATCTCATCTCATTTAATAAAAACCTGTAAAAACCGAGGAATAAAATCCACACACAATCAAATATTACAAATTTCAAGAGGTTTCAAATGACTAAACCGTGGCAGAAAAAAACGAAACGCTAATTAATGATATTAGTCATAGCAGCTCGATTTATGGCACACATCACACTGGACATCATACATACATGCCCTTGATATATCATTTCAGTATTTGATAGTTGTAAAAAAACTACTCACACATGTTGTATGCCTAGGTTTGTTTTTTGCATACTGAACTTTATCCATAATGAAACTGAAATGGAAATACACACAAAAAACCACAATCAAGCCTTGTTTTCAGTTTCTATAAACAACAGCATTCCATCTTACATACAGACAAAGATTTCAATACAAATGGCATGGCGGTAGTGATTCATGATTTCTGGTTACTATACCGCAAATATAACACACGGCGAGCTATATGTATATAGGCATCGTGATGATGATGCTGAGCGTGTATAAGTAACCCATCTTTAATTGAAGCAAATTAATTAACATTTATAGTACGTTTTTTGTTCTTAACAGCTTTTCAAACCTCACATCACAATCGATTTAAAGGCGAACAAAAATATGATGGAAAAAATAGCGTAAATAATATTCCATAAAAAATAGGCGCCAATTTTTAATTGAAATTATTAATTTAAGCACTTAGAAGAAAATGAAACAACAACATATTGGCCCTGGAACAATTTTGTTATTCAGGTTGTTGTATATTATTATTAACCAGATGTTTGTTTTGTTTATTGTTATCTTTTTCAAAAGGTAAATTATACCTATACTCTGGCTTTTTGTAGCATTCTCTACAATGTACACGAATTTCAAGTGGACCATATGCAAACTTTTGGTTTTTTAAGAAGATAAAAAAACAAAGCAAAAACACTAATGGCTGCCAAAGCATATCAATTTTTTTTATAAAAATATTGATTTTTTAATATTATTTTTATTCAGTAAATAATATAAAATTATTTACATATTCTTTGCCAATATCAAGCCCTTACTGTATTTTCTTTAAAAATCCTTTAATTTAAACTCTTTTGTTTCGCGGTGGATACGTGTCTTCATGTATTTGCCTTACTCTAATAAAACTGAGAACATCTCTCACAGTCCCTTATTTGTTGTTATTGTTCAACTCCAAAAGAAACAACAACATTATTACCACCGTATGCTGCCATATCCATCAATTGCACCTTTGCATTTATTTTCTCATATATTTTGTTGTTATTGTTTGGATAATAAATGTTGTCAACATTCGCTTCGCCCCAACACACATATTTTACACTCTCTCTCCCCCCAAAGACACTTAGAGTTGTGCTCATTAAACTCCTACTTATTTCCTTTACTTCACATAGTTATTATACGGCAGCAGTACGTATGTATGCCTGTGTGTGTTGTGTGCGGTTTATTATCGACATGCATGCAGATAAATAAACAAATAAAACAATTACTTTTGCAGGGGGCGTACAATCGTACAACAGCAACAACAACAAATCAAAAAAAAAAACACAATCATTGAACCCACTTTTATTTGGAGCACTCACAGCAGTCAATCTTCTGGTTTAAGTAGCATTTGTTTTGCTCTCTCTCTCTCGCTCTCTGATTGTCATCTCTTTTGGGGGGATTCTTCTTTGTTGTTCTTTTGATGTTATTTACACCTTGTGATTTGTAATTGGTGTTGTTGTTTGTGTAATTCTCCACCTTTATGTTTATTTGTTGTTGTTGTTCGTTTTCCTATAAGGTGGGGTACATATTTTTGTCATACATACAGCCATACAAAACATTCATCTACCTCCAACAAAGCTTAATTGACAATTAAGAGACAACAACAACAAAAAACCCCAACGGCCGGTAGACAGACAACAACGCACACACACAGCAATGATTGTTGTTATGATCGTGACGATGATGACAGCAATCATTGTCGGCAAAACCAGCAGCAGCAACAACAACAACACGAACGTGTGTGTGCGCCCCTTTGCATTACACACGGCAAAAGTGTGTGATTGCACCTTTTTGACAGTCTTAAATTGAGTTTAGTACAGAGAGCATCACTCAGCTGTGCTGTAACGTGCCGAGACGTGTCATTGTAAATATATTTTCAAAGAAATGTATAAAATTCTGTTAAATATTCATCGAAATGAATTTGAAATTATCATTGGGACATAATTTGGTAAATATTTTTTTGCAAAAACTAATAAAAGAAAAGGAATAAGTGAATGAATGAATTAAAAATCAAATAACAAAACAGGAGAGTGGTAGACAGTTGCTCTCTCTCGCAGACTACCCACTAGGAAATATATATTTACGCACTATTGTCATTATCTCTACACAGAATTTTGACAATTTATGAAATAGCAAAACTGATAACAATTTAAATTTTGCAAGTAGTTTTTTTTTTTATACAAGTCATTGACCATTTAATTAATCAATTTTTTCTTCTTCCTTGTCTCTTTCCAGAGTTGCAAAATTTGCCACAAAGCTTTCGCCAATGTCTATCGCCTGCAGCGGCACATGATTAGCCACGATGAATCGGCTCTGTTGCGCAAATTCAAATGTAATCAATGTGATAAGGCCTTCAAGTTTAAGCATCACCTGAAGGAACATGTGCGCATACATTCCGGCGAAAAGCCATTCGGTTGTGATAACTGCGGCAAACGTTTCTCGCATTCCGGTTCCTTTTCATCGCACATGACCTCCAAGAAATGTATTAGCATGGGTTTGAAGCTCAACAATAGCGGTCGTAATCAACTCAAATCGGCCAATACATCACCGAACAGTTTGAAGCACACCTCACCGAATGGTAAAAATGATACAGCGGCCGCCAATAACCTTGTCAACAATTTAACCAATCCCATGAATTATTTTGCCGGTGATGCAAATGCTGGTGCCAACACACCCCCAAATCCATTCTATTCAAATCTGCTGCCCAAATATGGTGATTATAACAGTGCCATGAATGCTGCCCTATTAGCTTCATTCCCCAATCCATTCTACAGTATGGCTTTGGATCCCCGTATCCATCCATATAGTATACAACGTTTATTGGAATTGACTGCTGCCGGACAGCAGCAACAGCAACATCCACAGGAGTCGGAACAGGAACAGCAACAACAATCACAAAACACCTTAACACCTCCTCCTCCTACACATCATCAGTACACAACACCCAATGAAGATGATGAAGAAGAGGACAATAGCAAAGATTTGAAAATTTCCAATAGCAGCAGCAATGCCGATGAGGAGGAAGACATCAACTCAGAAACTTTGGAATTAAATGAAGAAGAAGAACCAAAATTGGTAATGGATTTGGAAGCTGGCGATGTGGATAATAAGGAAGCCGAACAACACACCACTCATGAAGAAGAAGAAGTAGCTGAAAATGAAACCAAGGAATCTCAACAAGAATCACAAAAATCCCATGCCAATGAAACAGCACAAAATGCCGATCTTTCCGCAATTAAACAAGAACAAACTGAAAGCCGTGATGCCATTGATTCCCCTGTAAACATTAATACTCAAATCAAACAAGAAAAATTGGATGAATCAGAAGAGCAATTGGAGGAAATTAACAACAAATCGGTAGAAGAAGAACCAGCAGCAATTGTAGGTGAGGAAAATCCCTCTGAAGATACAGACAACACCTCAGCAGCCCCAGCTGCTGCCGAATTACGTTGCAGTCGCTGTGATAAGAAATTTAATCATCCCACAGAATTGGTGCAACATGAAAAGGTGTTGTGCGGTTTTATTAAACAGGAATTGGAACAACAATACCAACAACAACAGCAACAACATCTTTTGGAACAATCTCACAACTCCAGCTCCTTTATGGCGGCCAGTGATGTTGAAGATGATCAGGATGAACGTGATAGCATTTCTCGCAACGACTGCTCCAGTGGTGGTGAAAGTAATGCCGAACGTAAGGTTCGTGTACGCACGGCCATTACCGAGGAACAACAACAACATTTGAAACAGCACTACGCCATTAATTCACGTCCCAGCCGTGAAGAGTTCCGTATGATTGCCTCTCGCTTGCAATTAGATGCTCGTGTTGTCCAGGTGTGGTTCCAAAATAATCGCTCACGTGAACGTAAAATGCAATACAATAACAACAACAATACTTCGACTATTAAATCAGCATTCCCCTTGCCATCGTTGCCACCAATGCCCACAGGTCAAACGCAAAGTTTTGAAGAAGCTACACTAAGCAAACCAGTTGGAAATTCTGATGAGCTGCCTTTGGATTTGTCGGTTAAGCCACAACGCAATTCAGGCAATGGCCAGCAACAGCATTCTCCTTTATATGGTGTTGCACCCTTGCAGAATGCCAATGTGACTGGAGATTTGGCCGAAGCCATTAATTTGAGCCGCAAAATGTCACCACCCACCTCATTGTCACCCAACTCGGCAGCCTCTGTGCCAGCTGTTTTCAAACAACAAGCCCAGGCTGCAGCTGCTGCCGCAGCTTTGTATTTTGCAGCACCCTCACAGGCAAATGGTGCACCCAACTTACCTCACAATATGCGCCAAACACCCTCACCCATTGAAGCTCCTCTTTTGGGAGGTCCTCAACAGACTTCCACACCACGCGGTGCTGCTGCATTCCCCTCATTTTCACAATTACCTCCATACATGATGCCCGCTGCAATGGCGGCTGCTCAACGCAGTCTTATGCCCATGGAGGCACTATTCCAGATGACACCCGGCTCAGCCGACTACGCCCGTCAACATTCACTAATGAACAGTATTAAAATGGGTCCCACCCTAGACTTTAGAGGCAACAGTCTGAGCCCCGGTTCCGAGAAACGTTCATGGCGTGATGATGAATCGAGGATTTCGCACGAAGACGAATATGCCCATGCTCAAGCCCAGGCTGCGGCCGCCCTTTTGCCACCCAAACCGAAGCGGGCCAAGGCCGAAACGCACGGTCATGCCGGTGATCCAGATTTGCCTTTCATTTGTGATCAATGTGATAAAGCATTTGCCAAACAAAGCTCGCTGGCGAGACATAAATACGAGCATTCCGGCCAACGTCCCTATCAGTGTATGGACTGCCCGAAGGCGTTCAAACATAAGCACCACTTGACGGAACACAAGCGATTGCATAGCGGGGAGAAGCCCTTCCAATGTTCCAAGTGCCTGAAACGTTTCTCACATTCCGGTTCCTATTCCCAGCACATGAACCACCGTTACTCCTACTGCAAACCATACAGGGAATAGGTAAGCGACAATGGACCAACGAATGCCTGCGCCACAACAAATAGTAATAACGTCTCCACGGCGATGGGGTCAGTAATGGCCGCATCGGGTGGGATGGGTAAATCATCAACAACATCGACGTCGTCCTCTAGACGCAACTCAAGAGCTCATCATAATAACATGAATATGCATGATTTTCGTAATAAATTTAATATGGCTAATGTTTTGCGTCAGCAGCAACAACAACACCATCATCAGCAGCAGCAACAACACATCCACCATTTACCAGCAATGGCTGTTTTCCAACAACAATCCGCTGTAAGACAACCGCCTCATCTAATGAACAACTGGAATCTATTGAGTCCCTCAAATTTTGCCAATCCCCGAGGTTTAGCACCTCCGGGTGGTCCTGCAACATTAATGCATGGAGGTGGCGGTGTCATGCCCTCGCCAATGAATAGAAATCCAGGATTTTTTGCCAGCGGCGGTTTTCCACGTTTCAGTGGGCCATCACCCTCCAATATGCATACAAGTTTACCGTCCTCCCAACAGCAACAACACCAGCAGCAGCATCATTTTAATGTAGCATCTGCCGCAGCAGCAGCAACAACATCAACGGCACCATTTGACTTTTATAATCAAAAAATCTTAATGAATTAAAGAGAGATTTGAATTTTCTTTTTTATAAAAAATAATATTCATTTGAAGTTTTAATGTGCTTTAAATTAAAATTCCTTTCAAAATAACCTTTTTGCTGATCTAAAAACCAAAACAAAAAAATATGCCAAAAACTCAAATCGCACTTAAAAGCGTACTTAATATACCAAAACCCATTAAGAATTTATATTTTCTTTAAATTCAAAAAATGATGAAATATATACATACATATATTAAATATGTATGTATATAACTTTTTTTATATATTTTTGTGCAGGCACATGTTTCTTCTTTTTTATTTTTTTTTACTTTCCATGGTCATTTTAAAATGATTGAAAATATTTATTTCATTTTTGCTGAATTTATTTCCTCTTTTGTAAACAAATTCTAAAAACCAAAAAACCTTTCTTTTCGAATTTATTTTTATTTTTTTAATTTAAAAAAATTAGTTTTTTATGTACTATAATAATTATAGTTATTTTATTATTATTTTTAAGTTTGTATATTTGTTGTTTCTTTGTTTTTGTAATTTGAACACACACAGAAAAAAGAAACCTTTTTATTCACTAGAGCTTCCTTTTGTTTATTTTTATTTTTTAGATTTATTTTATACATAGTTTTTTTTGTATTACATTTAGTTTATAGGAAATAAAAAGCCAAATGCAAACCAAAAATACTAAAGGCCCCCAGTACCTTTATTTTGAAATACTCATTACGAAAATTATATTCTATTCAAAATTATTTTTGAATTTATATACAAAAATTATATATAAATAATTCATTATATATAGTATGTGACTTTATTTTAGTTTTTAAAAAAAGTATTGATTTTTTATTATTATTTTTATTTTATTTTTTAATTTTATATTTTTTATAACTAATTTTAATGTTTTTTTATTTTGCAATAAATTAAACAGTTTGCCATTATTTTACAACAAAAACAAATAGAAATATGCAATATTTTTTTTATAAGCAATTAAAAAATTATATGGCTGGGTTTTAAAGCAATTATGTTCAAACTTAAAACAATATTTAAAAATCTTAAAAAAAAAATAATTTAGAAAAAACATGGGCTGAATTTTAAAAATTGCTAGTATGAACAATTTTGGAAAAACATAATTTTGTTTTAAAAATTCTTTTTAGTTTTTTTGCTATTTTTTTTTAATTTTTTAAATTCTTTTCATTGTTTTTTAAATAATTCAGCTTATGTTTATATATATATATGTTTAATATTTTTTGTCTGACAATACCACTACACAACAGGCTGGGTTTAAAGCAATTATTTTAAAATTCAAAATTAAGTACGCTCTTTAAAAAAATACACCAAATTTCTTTTCAATATTTGTTTTTGTTCTAAATACAATCACAACTGAAATCAGTTAACAATAATAATAATAACAAAAAACACCCACCGCTCAGAGAAAACAATATTAAAAAACAAAAATAATAATTCAAATATTTTGGTGTAATTTAAAAAAATATACAACTATGGAAAAATTGGCTTAATTTTTTAGATAAAAATTAAAATATTTTTCAAAATTATATTTTTCTTCAATGAAACAAATACCTATACCAATCATTCCATAAAAAAAAACTTTCAAAAGGGTTTTTCAATTAAAAACAATTAAATTGAAACCAAAGAAAGTTTTTTTTTTAATTTTTTTATTTTTGTCTTTTCTTTATAAAAAAAAAATAAGATTTATATGGAAATAAAAAAACACATAAATTAAATTAATTAATAAAAAACTCGTAAGCTTAAATCGAACAGTTAAAATAATAACTTAAACTTATTCATTTGGCCTTATATATTAAAATAAAATAATATTTAATTAATTTAAAAATACAAAAAACTAGTTTTAATGAAATAAAAAAACTTAAACTTAATTATATATGGTAAACAAATAGAGATTCTTTTTCATAATGATAATAAAAAAATTAAGAGATGTGAAAAAACAAAAACAAAAAATTAAATCTTAAAAAAAGAGTTGTGTTGTAATTTAAACAAAACAAAATGGAAATTAACTTAAAATAATTAAAAAAAAAAAAAACAAATTTATGTACATGAGTATAATTAAAAAATCGAATATAGCAAAATAATATTTCAAAAAAATGGACAATAAGAAAAAATATACCAAAAGAATTACACACAAATTTATAAATAATTAAAAACAAAAATTAAAATACAAATAAAAAAACCAAGATTCTGGTTTTTTGATCTCCAAAACCCAATCGTAACATCGAATATTAAAAACAATAGTAGTTTCGTAACTCAAATCCCTTTAATTAATTAATTTTTTTTCAAAATTAATTTAAAGCTTTAAATTTAATTTGTTTTTCTTCTCCCTTAATAACCTAAATATCCACCCGAAAAACAAACAAGGTTTCCAAAACAACGAAAGAAAAGGCAAGAAATTAATTATCACACAACCACCTACAGCAAAAAGAACAAAAAAAAAAAAAAAAGAAATGCTCAATACTCTATACATAAATATATTTACATATATTTTTTGTAATAACAAAAATGCATTTATTTATTATTACTATTATTATTTTATTTTTTAATACAAAAATAAATTGTTTAAATTTACAACATAAACTTAATAAAAATTTAAGTTAAATTAAGTTAATTTTTTTCCTAAGACAAAAAATTTAAAACAACAAAATTTTGTAAAAAAGAATACACACACTACAAAGCTAGAAAATCCAAAGACACTCTTGTACTATAAACAAAAAATTACACCTACACTTTAAATTATGCTCAAAATTGAAATTAATGAAAACTTAAATTTATAAAAAAATAAATAAAAAATTATGATACATCTAAATTCAAACCTTTACTCTTAATAAAAAACCAACTCCCCTTAGCATAATTTAACGCTTTAAAACAAAATCCTAAAAACAAAAACATACACAGACACAACTGTTATTATTATTTAAGACATAACCTCAACATGAAGAGGACAAATTCCTTAAAAACCAACAAAAAACAAACACAATTTGTTTTGTTTTTTTCCTTAAGGCCTTATTACACAAACAAAAAATAAATATAACTATATAAACTTAATAAATATTATTGTTAATCTTTCTCTCTCCCGTACCATAACAAATAATGCTCTCTTTAATTTTGTTAATTTTTTTATTATTATAATTTAAAAACAATACTTTTGTACATAGACACACACACACACAAATTACAACAATAATGTATTATTTTTTATTATTATACACAATTTTTTATATACATACTTTTTTAAGTTTTCTTTTTTACATGTTTTTTGTTTCATGTTTTTTTGTACCATTATAATATAAATAAATAAACAAATGATGATTAGATTAAATGTTTAAGGTGTTATATATAAAATAAAAGAAAGCCATAAAAATATAAATAAAAAAACCAAAAAAGTATATTATTCAATATACACATAATTCTATGTATTTTAATCAAAAAATTGTAAGAATTTTTTTGTCATTCATATAATATTATTATATATATATACTATTATTATTAATAATAAAAAATTTACAAAAACCCAAAAAACTTATAATAATTATAAAATTTACAATTAAAATAATGAAAGAAAACAAACAAAAAATGCCAAATAAAAAAATTAATAAAAATCTTTATTGAAAAAAAATTTAAATCTTTATGGTGTTATTATTCTAAACGGGGGGTTGGATACGGGGAAGATTTTTGAAAAAAAATAATGTTTTGGGAGGGGATTTTTTTGAGATTTAAAAAACAAAAAATATTTTTCGGGCGTGGATTTATTAAAGAATAATTTTTTCAAGGCCCATACAAGGCGTTAATTTATTAAAGAATATTTTTCAACGACCATACAAGGAGTGCCTTTTTTTATTATTTTAATTCATGCAATTACTGTTTGCATTTTAATTTATTTCCATAATTTGCGTTGGAAACCCTATTATTTGGTTGTTGCCTTTGCTACAGACTTGTATTTAAATAATAATACTAAAAAGTCGATAAAACAGTTTTTCGTGTTTCAGAACTAATTGTCCGCTATTCACTATCTATCTTCAATCTATTTGATTAAAAAATGTATTTGATTTTCAAAATGTGAGTCTTGATTATCATACTAAAGTCTAGTACACACCGACTAGTATGAATGACAGTCACTCAGGTCTTTCTGTGTAGATAAAGATACCCATAAAATATAAATTTTAAACTATAAAAAATAGTTGCTATCTATAATAGTTCCATAATAACAATTCAGCCATTTATTTTTATAATTAAATAAAGCCAAATCTATTAATCACTATGACTTGATTGTATTAGACTTTATTTATATTTATCATGTGATCAATTCTCTTTGCATGCCATACATTTGCAATGCAACTAAGAAGAAGCAACGCACGTTAGCAAGTGGAACTTTTTTCGTTTTGGCTTGTTGTGGACAACTCTGTGTAATATATAAATTTTGAACTATAAATAATAGTTGTAATTTAAAATAGTTCCGTAATAACAATTCAGCCATTTATTTTTGTAAATCAATTAAGCAAAAACTATTAATCACTTTGACTTGTTTGTATTAGACTTTATTTATATTTGCCCTGTTATCAATTCTCTTTGCATGCCATACATTTGCAAATGCAACTAAGAAGAAGCATCTCACGTTAGCAAGTGGAACGTTTTTCAATTAGTTTCGTACAACCCTGAGTTGTCAGATGTCACAACAACGTTTAGCATTTTCCTTTTGTGTTGTTTGATTCGGACGTAGGATTTCACACATTTTCCTTGTAAAATATGTTAGGAATACAAAATTATGGAAGTTCCTCGGAAGGAGAACATTCCGACAATGAAGAAAAACCAAAAGCAGATGATAAAAATACAACTACAAAAACAGCAGAGAAGGAAAAGAAGCAAGAAGTACCAGATTACCTCAAACCAATTGATCCAAAGTTGTCGGTGGCGAAATCATTGGCGGTATGTGCCGCTCCTGAAGTTGTACCCATGGGCACTGCAGCTGTACAGCGTACTATAGATCCCACCGTTAAAGAAGTTGAATATAATCCACGTTATGAAGAGTTGTTCGCACCCGTTAAGGGGCCAGAAAATCCCGATTTGACACAACAGATGAAAGCACCACGCAATACATTGGCGGGTTATGTGGAAAAGGCACACATCAATGCATTTGAATTTGAAAATCAGCGAAGAACTTTTCACACATACGGCTATGCCTTAGATCCTTCGGTAGATGAAGAGGCGGATGGACGATCATTTGTTGGTGACTTACAGTCGGCCTATGATGACGATGGCAAGACGGTGTTTGAGGCACCCAAGCCAAAGAAGAAACGAAAACAGGAGAAAAACGATAATCCCGAGGATATTGAAGGTTTTCTTGGTCCATGGGGTCAGTATAAAGATGAACAACGGGTGGCCAAACCAAATGAACAGGAAAAGGCGGAATTGGAGGAGATTTTGTCCAAAAGACACAGGCGTAACAGAATACCCGAAGATAAACCATTGGAAGAGAAATCTATATTGCACAGTAAGTTAAAAATACAACAAAAAATATTGAATAAGTTACCAATAAATTATTTTTTTTTTTATTCCGTACAACAGTCAAAGATGCTTATGACTACCAGGGCCGATCATATCTACATGCTCCACATGATCTGGACGTGAATTTGCGAACAGGCGCACCACCAACAAAATGTTTCTTACCCAAAGCTCACATACACACGTGGACGGGTCACACAAAAGGCATCTCGGCAATACGTTGGTTTCCAAAGACAGCACATTTGCTACTATCTGGATCTATGGATTGTCGTGTTAAGCTGTGGGAAGTCTATGGCGAACGTAGATGTATACGCACATTTAATGGCCATCGTCAGGCAATTAAGGATATTGCATGGAATAATAAGGGTACAAAATTCCTATCCGCCTCATATGATCGTTACATTAAGCTATGGGATGCAGAAACGGGAGAAGTTGTTTCCCGTTTTACAGCCCGTAAAATGCCATTCTGCGTTAAATTCCATCCGGATAATACGAAGCAGCATTTGTTTGTAGCCGGTACATCGGATAAGAAAATTATTTGTGTAAGTATTGGAGTTGTTATAAGAACTAATTTGATAACTGAATCGATTTGAATTTGCCTGTTCATCATCTATTATACATGTAATGAGAGTACTGGTCGCAGTTATGGGCCGATTGTCACAAAGTTCCGGCTTTTGCAAGGATTGATAGCAAATGTCCTCCTAAGGCCACAAGGGAATCCCTGGTCGAAAGAATTTCTATATATCGTAAAAAATATTATAGTATAAGTCAATGTTATCGACCGATGGTCATGAAATTTTAGCCGATGTTCCGATTTTGGGAAAGCCCCAATTCCATACTCACACAAAGAATTCTAAAGTATTGGAAGAACTTGAAAAAGTTCGAAAACAAATATCCTTGTAAAGCCACAAGGAAACTTCTAGTCGAAAGTATTCCTATCTCCCGTAATCCAGAAATTTATTCGAGAATTTTACAAAATTGAAGAAAGACTAAAACTCCTGTATATAAGCCTTACATGTTCCAGGGGTTCCGGAACATGTAAGGCTTATAAATGAGGATATGAAAGGAAACAGGTCACGGCTTAAAGATCCATGAAAAATTTATATTTTAAGTCCACGCCTTGTAAAGGTCTCTGAAAAAAATTATTTTTTAAGTCCACCCCCCATAACGGTTTCGGAAAAATTTATTTTTTAAGTCCACCCCCCATAAAGGTCTCTGAAAAATGTATTTTTTAAGTCCAAGCCTTATAAAGGTCTCTGAAAATTTACTTTTTTAAGTCCACGCCTTAAAAAGGTCTCTTAAGATATTTTTAAAAATCCACGCCTCTGGTAGGTCCTTAAAATATCATTTTTAAAAATCCACGCCTATGGTAGGACCTTAAAAATTTTCTTTAAAAATCCTCTCCTCTGTTAGGTCCTTAAAAAAATTAATTTAAAAAAAAACCAAGCCTCTGATAGGTCTTAAATTTTTTTTTAAAAATCTACATCTCTGGTTAGTCCTTACAAATTATTTAAAAAAAAAATAATTATTATAATTATTTTTTCTTAACAACTTTTTTTTTTTTTGTTTTTACATATTTCATGTTATTAATTTATTTGTGTTTGTTTCTTTTTCATTTCAGTGGGACACACGAAGCGGTGACATTGTCCAAGAATACGATCGTCACTTGGGTGCTGTCAATACAATTACCTTCGTCGATGAAAATCGTCGCTTTGTTACTACCTCCGATGACAAATCTATGCGCATTTGGGAATGGGATATACCGGTGGATATGAAATATATTGCCGATCCTACTATGCATTCCATGCCCGCCGTAACATTAGCACCAAATGGCAAATGGTTAGCTTGCCAGAGTTTAGATAATAAAATTGTAATATTCTCGGCGTTGAATCGTTTTAAAATGAACCGGAAAAAAACATTTACTGGTCATATGGTATCCGGTTATGCGTGTCAATTGGATTTCTCGCCGGACATGAGTTATTTGGTATCGGGAGATGGTGATGGTAAATGTTATATCTGGGATTGGAAGACATCCAAAATGTACAAAAAATGGCAAGCACATGAAGGTGTTTGCATTAGCACGCTATGGCATCCGCATGAGGCGAGTAAAGTTGCAACAGCCGGTTGGGATGGTTTAATTAAATTTTGGGATTGAAATTGTTACTGGCTGTTGTTGAGGAGGAGCTGTTGTGTGTTGAATTAGAAATAATAGATTTAATTTTTTACATATATACAAACATAAATATATCATAATTAGAATGTTATGCTATAATGTTTTCTTTTTTTTTAAGATGACCACACATGATGAGAATAAAAAAATGGAAATTAATGTGTATAATTTATAAATTTAAAATTATGATTTTTTATTCAAAATAGTTTTCATTGTAATATAAAATAGTAAACAAAATATCAACAGATAGCTGTTGATATCTCTCCATATGTTTGTCCCGAAAATAAACGATGTTTTGTTTACAAAACAACTTTTGCACGTTTCAAAAATAAAAGTCACCTCCACCTATCTCTTAAAACGACGGAGGGAATACGTGTTAAAAATGCCGGTAATGCAAACAAAACAAACAATGAAACATCATTACATACTCCAACACATGGCTTTCTTTTTTTATGAATAAACCGAATATTTTTGGTTACGGACATGCGCCTTAAACTATGCAATATACTGTCATTAGTGTCAAACGCCAAAAACCACCCCATCGAGTTTCAGCCAAACATATGTGTAAGTGTATCCCTTGGAAAAAAAGTTACAAAGTTGCGTCGTGATTTTTACAGAAAATTTTAAACGAAAGGAAGAAAAATGTGTAAAATCAATAAAAAGAAAATTCCGATTTAAAAAAATAATAAATTTAAATATGTAAAAAGAAAATTAAATTGTAAAACGAAAAAAAAAACAGCATCGCTTTTGTGCAGATAAAAATATAAATGAAAACAAAATAGAATGTTTTGTTTAAACGAAGAAAAAGGATGGCGAAACCCATTTGACGAAAAACGAATAAATTAGCTACGAAACCTTGAAAAAAAAGTTATTTGTTTTGGCAAATTATACAAACATAAGCAAAGTTACTGGTTAATGTTCTCTAAAAAAATAACACCAACAGATAAAAAATAATAACATTATTAAAATTCCAAACAATCTTATATATTATCTATTAACTCTAGTTAGATAATCCAATTTTGTTTCTGGGTGTTCCTCCTTGGGTGTCTGCCTGCCCATCATCCTTGTCGTTGTTGTTGGGCCCTTTTATTTACTTGGCTTCAGCAGACAAACAGGCCCCATTCAACAAAGCAACAACAACAAATAATACTAACAACGCCAACAACAACAATTGCAACACACTTACAATATGGCTAAACCACCCTCGGATACAAATGGCTTGGGTTATGCCTATCACTTGCCATCCGGTGGCCTCTTGCTGCGCCTTAAGAATTCCCTCTCGCAATTCAGTGATTTATTTAGTGAATTTAATAAATATATAGCACCAGCATATCATCATGATCGTTGTGAACGTTCCGTTCATATGCGTTTGTATTCAATGCACAAACGTGAATTTGTTATGGTATTTTTGGGATTTTTCACCTGCTTCGGTTTGGGCATAATAATTGGCCTGACCGGTCCACCGATAACAAGCACAACGGAAATAACCGCCAAGACAATTTTGAATCGTACAACATTGGCGAATTCAACGAGTGTTTTGGCGACGGGGCCATTTGCCATGAAATCTCCCCTGATGACAACGTATTCCCAGCAGTTATGGTTAATAGCGAAAATCGTAACAAATAATAATGATGGTGAGTGTAGAGAATGTAATGTAAATATTAAGAAGAATTTTAAGGCTGATAACATTTTGTAAGAAGTATTTTCTAAGACTTTGAGAATAAATAGAAGTCCATAAAAATGTATTCTAACTATGGATGACAACTAATAGATGACATGATATAATAACATATGTAATCTGAGATGTCTTCTAGAAAGCCCATCTAAACGTAATCTACGGATAGAAATCCCTTTTAAAGGACCACTATCGGCAGAAAGTCCTGAGGTGTACTCTACACATAAAATAGATTTCGGAGGCCTTCTGAGTATTACTAAAAAAAATTATTTAGTTATATTTTTGGTCTGTTCCCGTACTGCAAAAATCTATTAATTATACCCTAATATAAGGAGACGTGTATCATAAGATGAAGTGTATATTAAATTTGTCATACCGTTTGCAACACCTCGAAATAATAATCGAAGACCTCATATCAGAATAAAATTCTATGTCGAATTTGCCACGTCCGTCTGTATAAATCCCGATAGAGGTCGCAATAATTAAGATAGAGCTCCGAATGTTTGCACAGATATTACAAGAACTTCTAGGTATTGTAATGGGGTATATGGGTCCATATTTTGGTATAGCTTCCATATAACTAATATTCGGTATTTTGCAGGATGCGAAGAATGATTAAAATAAGCTCTTTCTAACGAATGCTCACGCGCGAGAATTCGAATGTTTTCAATTTATCGCGAATGATAAAGTTACAATGAATGATCAAGCATTTGCAATCTCTCGCAAATGTTCGCATTGTGCGAAAAATTCACGAACGATAAAATTTCGCTGCAAGCTGAAGAACATTCTTTTGAAAAACTCAAAAAACAAATGTTCGCGAATGCTCGCGAACACTGTTAAAAACAACAGCAAACAAAAACATCATAAAAAAGTAAACACACACAACGAAGTGTGTGGAATAACAGAACACATGTCCAACAACTATAGTTGTTGAACTCTCCAGTAGAAAGTATCTTGCGGACAACATTAACGAATCGTGTAAGACAATGGCAATTTCTTGAAGACACTTTGCAGACAACAATGTGACATCGTTGACGAAATTTTCACACAAGTGTCGCAGTATTCATCTAAGACAACTTGGGCGACAGGGTAAGCGATACTGTCGTTGACAACTTCGGCGACTAAACTCCCTATTTTTCGTTAACGACAGATTCACTTACCCTGTCGCCCAAGTTGTCTTGGATGAATACTGGTACTTTGGATTGGATGAATAAGGTACTTTGGATTGTTGTTGGGTGCCAAATCTCACAACCCCAATCAAATCGCAAATTATCAATATCGGTCCGCGCTTTGGTATAGTCCAATATTAGTGTCTGTAGTTTGGCATTTCGTTTTGTCCTGAAAGACCAATCGGATTTAGGTATTTTGAATGGTGGATGACATAAAAAGTTAGGCCCGACAGAACATAACAATGTTTTTACTATATTTTCGATATCATAAAGAAAAAAATTATGCAGGTTATGGAAAAGCCACTTTATTGATTATAGAGAACGTAAGAATGTATATACCGGTTCACGTATTTTTAAGGATTTAGTATCATTTTGAAAGCAAAGGAGATCTTATTTGACATTCTTGCTTATTAAAGCGCAAAAAACATCTTTGTAGAAATATAAAGGTCTTACCCTATTTAAGGTATTTTGATTGTTCTAGGTGGTACATTTTTCAACCGAAGTGGCTATAATTTGTCATTCTCCGTGGATGACACATATGCAGGAGGACGTTTGAACACAGTGTGTATTTATTTGTCTACCGTACCAGCGTCTACCATACCAGAGGTTGATCTGAAGACTGAGAGGGTGTTTTCTTCATGATATGATATCTGTCTTAACACTATCTTTATTCAAACATCTATTATCCAAAGTCAATTAGGTTTTTTGATAATATTCAAAATAGGTCTACGATTTGACTTATCTCCACATATAAATACCCTTATGCATTTTGAAGGTACTAAGCTCATTTTTAAACCACAGTGGTTGTGAAAAACTTTCCGGGTTATTGGTGAATAAAAGCCTTATTTAAAAAAATTGCTAAACCAAGTCCATGTTTCAACATAGCTCCACATTAAAGGCTTCGCCCAATTTTGCTTATTTCCGAGCGAAGTTGTTGTAATTTGGCATTTCAGGTTCATAGTGGGTAAACAAATATTTATTATAGATTCATATATTTTGATGGTTCTAGATGTCGATGTGGATGTAATTTGACATCAATTATTCTCAGAACATTTTAAATATAGTTGTTTTAATTTGGTTGTCCTGGAGATCGTAGCTGAATATTCCAACCTTATAGATTTGGTTTCCGAGGATAAAAACCCTCCTGTCAGACAATTAACAATGACATAGCCCGCATATAAAGAATGCACACCTCATCGTGGAGGATATGGTGATTTTACTTTCAGATTCCAGATGAGGTTGCACTATAGATCACACCTTAAACTTAATGTATATCGATTTACAAAGTTTGGATCAAATCTGACATTCCATTATATTGTTATTGGATTAAAAAAAAATAAAATGTTCACTCTTTGTGGCGATTGTATATACATTAACATGGAATCGGATATTTCGATCGTTTCATATGAAATTTACAAGTTTTCAAATTTTTGACCCTTTGTGAGAGAGTATCAGAAGGAAAGGATTGATAAGTTTTTCAACAATATTCAAGTATTATGTTGTGCAAAGATTGGTTTGAATAGATTATCTGATATTATTATAAATTTTCAGCTCAATTTTGACAATTTTATGGGGGAGGTATCCGAAGGAGTGGAGGGATTTTCACCAACTTAATTTTAAATAAATCCGGCATCCATTAGCCTAATATTGAATCTATAAATATTGAAAATGTTGACCTTTTTTGGACCAATATTCTTCATCTTCGAACATGAACTAAGATTGGAAGAAATTTTACGATGTGCAAAGTTTGGATGAACTCGGATATTCCCTTCGAGATTTATCGAGCGCACCAGCCGATCAGAATGGCAGACAGACAGACATTTGTAAATCTACTCCAAATTGTGTGAAACGGATTTGGTCCAAAGAAATATTTCGATAAGGCACATTTTTGCCGTAGAAAAGTGTGTAGAGCCTAATTAGCCATAGGCTGATGGTATAAAAAATTATTAATTGGCTTCATCCATATGTCTATGATTTGTGGGTTCAAAAGAACAGTTATTTAAATGATGTATGTCGTGACATTTACCTAATTAGGATTCTGGGAACAATGTCTTCTCCGTAGAAGTGGATAACATAATCCTTGACCTTATTTGTGCAAGAATAAATGTGTTCGCCTAGAATTTTATGATGAAGGACCGTGGACATATGCCTGCCTTGGGCAGCAATTTCAAGGGATAGATTGGCTTCTCATGTGACTCTGTTGATTTGACTGTTATTTTGGATTGTTTAAGATTGTGCTACAGAGGAACTTATCGATGTTGCCAATATATATGGAAATTTTGACATTTACGTCCAAAGCGTTTGCTGGACTGTTTGATCGATTATGATAATATTCCGACCACCAAAATTTGGTGGATTTTGATGCATATTCTTTTGTATTACTTGCCATGATATTGTTGTTGCATAGATGATTTACTTAATTAATTTTTATATACCTTGTTGTGATTTGAAGTTATTTTTTAAATTACTTAAGATTCTATGATAAGATAAATCAATCTGTTTTTAGGTTTAAGATTTTGGAGTGTAAATGTATAGTGGTTACTGGAACCAATCTTGGCTTTGTGGCTAGATTCCAATTCGTAAAAGTTAATTGAATTATGTTATATTTTATATTAATTTCTTTTTTTTTTGGGTCTTCTGTTCTTCTTTATCTGAAAAAGTATAATTATCATTTTTTATTACATGCAGATGAAAAATACGATAAACGTTTCTATGTGAGCGTTGGCATCGATGGTATTACAGAACAGCACAAACCTTTGAGCATACTCTCTTCCAATAATGTGCATAATCGGACAAGGCATTTATCATGCATACGCAACGATTGTGAAGAGTTTACGGTAATGCATTTGGGATTTTTGGAATATGCCCACTATATAATTACGGTGCGATTTTTTGGATTGGAATCGTTTCATCAGAAATACAATATAACGGGAATAACATTTTATGTGAGTATTATGCAAAACAATACTTATAATATTTTACTAATGAATTATTTTGGTTTCCCCCTAGTTCAAAACATATAGCCCGGAATTTACACAAATTGAAATCTGGTTCCGTTTTATATTTTTACTGTTTGCCTTTATTGTGATAGTAAGTGTTATGAGATTTCCAATGAAAGAATTTGAGAAGTAATTAAAAAAAATCTATTGCAGTGTTGGTATGCTCATAGTTTGAGAAAATATCCCATATATGATTGGTCAATAGAACAGAAATGGATATCAGTACTCCTGCCATTGTTATTGTTATATGATAGTGAGTTGTTACATATTTATTATCCCATTTTTTATTAATAATTATAATTCATTTTGCAGACCCTTTTTTCCCATTGATATTCCTAATGAACTCATGGCTGCCCGGTATGTTGGATGCTGTTTTACAGGCAACATTCCTCTGTGCCCTCTTAATGTTTTGGCTATGCATCTATCATGGTCTGCGACAAAATGAACGCCGATTTTTACGTTTCTATTTGCCAAAATTAATTGTCGTAATGCCGATCTGGTTATGCGCCATTGTCCTGGCCACATGGGAGAAATGCAATGAATTGAAAGATCCAACATATAGCCATTTTGTGGATACCAAAAATTATAATGTGAGTATTAAAAACAAGGGTGGATTAAAGAGATGATTGCATATATGATTTTAATGTCTAGAAACGTCATCTAGGCAAAAAAGATAACAGAAGACTCTTGAACACATTCCAAATTTCTTAATGGGAACTGCAGTTTTTAATTGGAGTCTCAGAATAATATTTACGGTACAGCGATGTGTGGTTGCGTCCTCCGAGGAAGACTAGACTCGTAGGTTCAGACAGATAATTGAGGGCTTTGTTGAGAAAAGGGATTGCTGTTTAGGATTCCGGAGACAACGTGCTCTCGATACGAATTGAGAACATTGCAATACCCGGATCTTATCTCGGTTGTGCCAGAATCGAACGGATTTGCCTAGGAAGAAGTCTCCCACTGTCTGAAACTGCAGGAAGATGTTAGAGTAGGACTTTGTTGCATATGTATCCATTTATGGTTTGCGAGACCGCCTGTTGACGTTCGGCGCTATCAACGATCTGTTGTTGTTGTAGCAGTCCTATTGCTTTTACATAACTGGCTGAGGACGATCCTCAGCGCCTGAAGTCCTGTGGGATGTGTCGAGGAGGTGGATCAGCCATCACTGTGTAATGGTTGGGATGACACGGCAGATAACATACATAAGGGAAATTAATGAGGTTATCGAATATCACCCCAACGACTTTCGGACGCTGGTTGGGCGCCACGAAATCGCTGTGATTTTCTACATTGACCAAGATGGGAATATGGTCTGAAATTGAAGCGTACTGGTTTTCCTAGGTAGTTTACGGAAGGCGTGATTTCTGACTATAGTAATGAGAGAGCTCGAACACCTGGCAGTGAGTCTGGTAGATGATTCCTCCATGATGGAAGCGAAATCGGATACGTCTATCTGGTTCACAGTAAGAATACCACATGGATCTTTTGGAAGTTGAAAACCCACATTTCATGATGAGCGTTAAAATCGGCAAGAACAATTTTGTTACCTCCCTGCAGCAGATGGATTATGGTCTGAAATGCTAAAGCGAATACTGGTTTTGACAATTTGTCAACGGAAGGCGCGAAATTTCATAACCTCTAAGAAAGGATCAGACTGGGAAGGGTAAAACTGACAGCCGCTGAATAATGAATGATCTCTATCCCTGTCTCGCCGAATTATGTTGTATCCCATTAATTTTAATTATCATGATTAAGAAGGTGATATTTGGATCACTCCCCTGCAAGGACTGCCGCATTAGGTAGCCTTGTGGAGGTAGACGAATGGAATTATTCGACGAACTGAAAACCTGCCTGTTACGCTGTCGTCTGGATGGGATGTTATGAGCATTCGATGTTAGAATTGGTGGACTAGAAGGAGTGCTGATCGGAACACTAGAATGAATTCTACTGGATGAATGACTACACGGAGTGATGTTTGCTGTAGAATAGGAAGTTAGTAGAATAACTAATATGGCTACTAGCACTGGAATAACATAGCCGGACGGAAAACGGGAAACTACCCGGAGTGCTAAAACCAGAACTAATGGATATGCTAGTCACAGAACTATCTCTGGTAGTACTATTAGTAGTATAAGTACTAGACACTAGTTGTACTACCGGATGGAGAGTTAGACGGAGTTCTAGCTGTAGTAATGCAAGGACTCAACTGGATTCCAGCGGATATTGCTGTGTTATTAATGCAGCAATCGTCTGCAAAGCCAGAATTCCAATTCCTGTGAACGCTGGGTGGTACATATCCTTAAAGGGCATTGCATCGCACTGAGGTGTAATTTGCAGCGATTCGCAGATGACACACAGAACAGAACTAGACATCAGGACCTTGAATCTGGTACAGCTGTCGCTGAGTTGATAATCCATGTCCGATCGTCGAAAATCACCTAATAACAATCAAGATGATTCGCCCAAAAGTTCTTTTTGGAATTTACATGTCAATATTTATATAAATTCTATTTTAATTTTATTCTAGGGTTTTAAAATGTTCTTCTACATCGCTGGCTGTATGTATATTCTCTACTTAGCTATGTTGATCTTAAGAGCCTATACAGAATTGAGATCAATGCCGTTCTTTGGTAAGTTATTCGAATTCGTCCATTTAATTTTAAATTATAATAATGGTTTTATTACAGATATGCGTTTAAAATTCTTAACCCTGCTAATGCTGTTTGTCATATCAATAACCATAACGGTGACTACGTGTCGTTTTGGTTTCGGCATTCTGGAGGATAATTTTGTAGCAAGCTTAAATACCACCTATAAAAGTTCTGCACAATTTATGTGTTTCTATGGCCTATTAAATTTTTATCTATTTACAATGGCCTATGTTTATGCACCAAGTGGTAGATTTTCGCAAGGTAAAGGTCTCACTTTTTTTTTATAAAAATATTAATTTAATAATGACCTCAATTTTTTCTTTAGCTGAAATTTCGGTTACCAAAGATAATCCAGCCTTTTCCATGATTAACGATTCCGATGAAGAAGTTGTCTATGGCTCGGAAGATGAGTCACGACGTCCCTTGACAGTGACTGGTAAAAACGATTACGATAGCGATTAGTTTTACGATGCAAATTAATTTGCAAACGAAAAATGAAGTATATAACACAAACTACCACCACCATAGACTCCCGCAAAAAGAAAATAGTTTTCGAAGCCTAATAGACTCCCGCAAAAAAGAAATACTTTTTCATATTTTCAATTGGAAAATAAATTTTTTTTAGTAATTTTCTAAATTCTATATCTATATAGTGTAATAATTCCTCTTTACTTTTTTCCTATCCCTTTGATGTGTTTTATTTATTATAGTATATATTATACCATTTGTACAGTTATTGTTTATATTTAATTGGTTTTTATCTATATAACACCTAGTAATGATGAACAAAATTAACGTTTTTATCGCCATCTTAAATCTATATTCCTATAAAAAATATATATAGCTTAAGTAAGAGATAAATTAAAGAAAATATATAAATTAAATTATAAATACAATAATCAAATAAAATTAAAAAAAATAAAATTGTCAAAATAATTTAGAATTTGGAACAGAGATCATTATTTCGGAAATCAAAACTTAACAACAAATCAATTGTTTAACAATGCGTGGACAACTCAAATTCTGGGAAAGAATATTTTTAGAAAATGGGATAAAAATGTTTACAAGGCACCACCAAGTCATGTTTGTTTCTGTACCTTTAACAAATTTCGGTAAAGGTAGCGCCAAAGATTTCATTTTTCAACCGGATTGGTCCTAACTTTATATTTTGGTTTCTCATTGGGAGTCAAATATTTCACGATTGTAAAAAAAACATTGTGTAAAAGTAATAATCATGCTACAACAACAACCAATGTACGGTTATTTCGTCGACGTAAGTACAAACATTTTCAACTATTTCGCCACCATTACCAACTTCTTCCTGGAGAGCAATCTAAAACTATCCACTGCAACGTCTACTGTGTCACTTTTCACTTCCTGGACGCGAGAAGTCAATTTAGAACCGGACATGTCCATCGAAGTTAGGTGTATCCCCACCGTCCATAATCCGAAAAACCTTGGAGTGGTCTTCGATAACCTCCTTCATTCCTTCTCGAATTCCAACTACGTCAACCTGAATGTGAAAGCTAGGAATAAAGTTCTGAAAGCTTTGGCTGGCACCTACTGGGGCAAGGATAAAGAAACTTCGGTAACGAATTTGATATTTTAGGTTATCATTGTGTATCAAATATTGCACTACAGAAACGACCCGAGTCTTGCTCGGCCAACAGCTGTCACCTCAGCCCATTGTGTAAAAAAATAAACAGCAATATACCGTTATTTCGTCCACCTATTTAGCCACCATTAATAACTTCTTACGGGAGCGCAATCTAAAACTATCCACTGCAAAGAGTACTGTGCCACTTTTTCACTTCCTAAACGCGAGAAGTCAATTTAGAACATGGCATTTCCATCGAAATTAGACGTCCATAATCCTTGGTGTGGTCTTCGATACACTTCTTCATTTCTCCTCGCATTCCAACTACGCCATCCAGAAGGTGAAAGCTAGGAATAATGTTCTGAAAGCTTTGGCTGCCACCTACTGCGGTAAGGATAAAGAATCTTTGGTAACGACTTACAAGGAAGGGCTGGAAGTCTTGTTGTAGACGAGCTAAAGGTATTCTTATAGACGAGATGCAGGTCTTCTTAATTATGTTGCCCTGGTCTGGACTTATTTTCTTAGTGACACACAATGGAGATCTTAACAAACTACGCAAAGTAATGCACTCCGAATTGCAATCGGGTGTGTGAAGATGACGAGCGTCGATCATATCCATGAGGAGACTAGAATGCTGGCAGTCGAACAACATAAGGTGTCGTTGAGTAGACAGTTGCTGCTGGCTGATCAACCTCCGCGACACATCCAACAGGACTTCAGCCGCTGTCGACATTATTCCATCAAACGTCAACAGATCGTCGATAGCGAATGCGATTAAATCCGTACATTAAAAGGCGGTGTCCGAAGCCATAAACGGCTACAGATGCAACAAAATCCTACTCCAAATTCCTCCTTTTTCCACTTTCTTCGATAAACTCCTTTATTTCTCCTCGCATTCCAACTACATCAACCAGAAAGTGAAAACTAGGAATAAAACATTGGTTGGCAAGGACAAATAAACGATCTGGATCTCTTTCCTTAGTGACACACAATGGAAATCCTTGCAAACTACTCAAAATAATACACTCCGAATATCAACCTATGTGTCCAGATGACGAGCGTTGCCCATCTCCTGCAATTTAAGACAGTGAGAGGCTTCTTCCTAGGTAAACGCGTTCGAATTTGGCAAAACTAAGATCGGATAAAACACTGTTCACAATTTGTATCGAGAGCGCATTTCCCCACCTGACAGCAAAGCCCTCACAACACACATCATCTAGTCAACTGTCTGTCCGTTTGTCTTACAAGTCCATTGCCAATAGACTTATGGCGGCTTATATTTCCTTTAAGGTGAAAAATGTGAAATGTTTTTGGGGGTATGGGGCTGTAAAGCATTTTAAATCTTATGAATATACCTTTCCATTGAGTTTTAAACTACCCCTTTTTTTAAAACTTTCCATTACAGTCCCTCACCAATGACTGAGACTACAACTCGCTCTTTCCAAAATTATGCGATATTTTGCTGCATCTGTTGTGTATTAAAAGATATAGCCCTTAGAACCCTACAAAAACAAGGAAATTCTTGGCCTAGCCGGTGTTGGTATCGGCCCATAACATAAAATCTTAAATCCCGGCCAAAAAGCCTAATTTTTTAATGAAAAAATAGTCAAAATTGGGTCAATTTTTGGAAATTTGGAACCTCATATCTCGGGAAATATATATTCCTCCCGAAAAAAGTTATGTTGTTGTAATCAGGAACCAAAAGGCTACCTGGAAAATATTTCAAATTTTTCTGATAGGTGGTCCTAAAGGAACATTTTTCTTGGTGGTGGTGGGTATAAAAAGAATAGTTGTACATCTGCATGATAAACATTCGGTCGTCAACATTTCCCCCCAGGTCTTCACGTAGGTAGGAGTAGTCAACTCCAATAATATCCCATTTGAACGTAGAGACCTAACTCTGTAGGGACAGAAAGTTGTACCTCCTTTTTGCAATCGAGGCTAGTGGATACGATCACGGCTCAAAATTACCGTAGAAAATGTTATTAGGAGTTCTATAAGGCACAACAAGATCTTTTATTTATAAATAAAATGTATAATACTATTTATAACAGGTGAAAATAATCAATTCTTTAAATATGATACCCAAATCCAACATCTAATGAATTTTATAAGCACTGTAATGACGCCATCTAGAGACGAATAGTAATAACTACAATTTCATCATAGTGCTTGCATTAACCGTAAATATATGTAAGCAGAAGATCATTGCTGTGAAAACTATTGTTAAAGTAACCCCAACGACTTACGTTACGTATCAACAAATACTCAATATAAACAATTTTATTTATTCAATAAATAAATTTTCAAAAATATTCAAATAATGCGTTGTTTAAATGATTATTAACTCCTTTATATTAATTATACATAATTTTCTTTACATTTATATGCATACATAACTGCATTACGTCTCCCCGTACGTTACGAGTCTTGAGTAATTGGTGTCATTGACATTCCATTTATTAGTCAACGCCGTTATTTATGTTTTTGTTGGACTCTGTTCTCCTCTTCGTTAACAGGTGGAACGTTTTTCAATTTTGCTTCAGTCGGTGTTATCTCGTCTATAAACGTCAAACGCCTGTTATAATTTGAAATTGTTGAAAATTTTTGTGTTTTTCTGTCGAAATTAAAAAATAAATTGTAAATAAACATTAGTGAACTAATAATCTACAATAACATATAACTGTAAGTAGCATTATAATATTAAATATTAGTTAAATCCCCAGTTAATATTCAGTTGTGTGTTTTTTAGGTGATAAACAATAATTTGTGGAATATTTAGCAACAACATTGAAGATAGGTAGCTGTTGTTGTCTTATTGTTGCATATTATACTTCGATTGCCTATGTGAAATTGGTAGATTTCCTCCTCACTTGTTGGTACCATTTAGCGGCATTATATCAGAGTTCAATGTGGCACTGCTAGATCAGCAAAACAAAACAGAACCAAAGCCAAGTTAACACAGCAACAATTCCAATACATGCACAATACAACAACACAACCAAACAAGCAACCATACCAACCAACCATACTGGTAGCACCTCACTCAGCACAGCTCAAATCAAATTAGAAAAGCCAGGTAAAATAGTTGCATTAGTGAGTCCATCGGTTAAACATTGTTGGTGCGGACAACCGATATTTATTTGTGTAGTCGTCTCGTTCGTTCGTGTGTTGCCGTCTAAGCCAGTTTCAAAAAGTGCATCTTATTTTTTCTACTTTTTTTACTTACAAAGAATTGGCCAACTTCACAACAAGAGTTTGCAAGAAGTTGGTTGCCACCAAACTTGTATGCATGTCACAATCTTCGGTAATCTTGGGAATACGCAAGAAAAATTATTTGTATTGTATTGTGATGTTGTAGATGGCACCCAGTTGAAATCGTTTGAAGTTTTTGTAATAATTTAGTGATAAAAGAAAAAATATTTTTTTTATAAAAGATACAAATAATATTTGTGGCTTGAATGCATATGAAAAAGAAAAAGTAATTTACAGATTCATTGTTGCATGCCCAATTTAAGATACCATCAGAAGAATTACACTTTGTGGTGTGAAAATAATTTGTGTGTTTGTGTTGTTCTTTTGGTTCTGTGTCCAGAAATCTCGTGTCTTGAAAAGTCATCATTATTATCATCAATTAGCTAGTGTTTAGCCAACATCCAACAGACAAAAAATAGTGGTTAACTACGCGACCATCGCTGGCAAGTGATTACTGTTCTGACATTTTTTTATTTCGTGTGAACGTCATCAAAAGGCTCTACGACGTCCAAGCATTGCATTTGCCAGTTTCAATATTTCCTGCTGAGCTTTAATCTGCCATTGGCAACAGGTAAGATATCCACGTCTTCTCCTCCGGCATAGTTTCATTGCCTTATTGTCTTTTTTAAA